AATTCATTGCATAGTATACTACCCAGTATAACTAAGGTGAATGAATATTTACCTGTTCATTATCAAGTTGGATCTTATCCATGCAAAAGCCCTCTAGTCCCTGACAAGTGATCATAGGAAAGTGTGCTTTCACTCAGCCTAGATGGTGTTGCACGGTAGTCAAGAAATGACCAGAGATCTTCATAGCCCACTCACCCCTCCCATTATACTGTGTCAGTCTCAGAGGGACTACGGCTCTGCTTTATGTGTCCTCATTCGGAGACCTCAGGACTTTCTGAACTCCTGGAAGAGAAGAAGGCGGGATGTGGTAGACCACACAAGGACTCTAAAAGCTTTGCTTTGGAAACACACATGTAAATTTTGGGCTCACTCTCATGGCCAGAGTGAGGCAAACTGCCAACCTCAGTCAGAGGAGGAGGCGGACACAGCTCGGTCTCTGTATTTGAACTCTACATCTGTGGATTCAACCAAAGACTGACGCAAAGTATGTTTTTAAAGATCACGCCTATAATGAGCATGTACAGACATTTCTTCCTTGTCATGACTCCCTACACAATGCACTATAATAACTATTATCATGACGTCTATGTTTTATTCAGTATTACAAGCAATCTAGTGATGATTTGAAGTGTCCAGGAGAATGCAAATGGGTACTCTGCTGATAATATACCGTTTTGCATAAGGGTTTGAGCAGCTTCAGATTTTAGTATCCACAGGGGTCTTGAAATCAATCCTTCACAAAGAGAAAGGGATGATTATAATCCTTTATATTTCTTTTGGCAGTGTTGAGGACTGAATCACCTAGGACCTGCTTCCTGAACTACATCCCCAGTCCTTTTTATATATATTTTTTAAAAAGTTTGAGACAGAGTCTCACTAACTTGCCAGGCTGAGCTCAAATTTGCAGTCCTCCTGCCTCAGCCTCCGAGTACTGAGATTATAGGCTTTGAGTTCTCTCTGCTCTGATTTCACCTTCTTTGCGTCTTTCCATCCATGTCTGAGAGCAGAGGCCTTGCTGACATCTAATAAGCATGGGTTAATGAATCACAAAATCTCACCACCACCTGCTCCCTGGGTCTTAAGGGAAAATATGGGGCTTGCGCTGAATATGTGGTCATTCCCTTTCCTATTAATTTCCCAAGCTCATCTGTGGGTTGTGCTCTCTGCTCCACTGGGGTGACACAAACATGACAGATGGTACTCTTACGGCAAGGAGTTTATTCTGCAATGCAGTAAAGGCCATATTTTTTCCTGTAAAACTCTTATAAATCATTCTTGTACATTTTGAGCAAGACTGCTGTGACACAAGGGAAGTAAATATTATTCCATACAAACAGTTGAAATTTGTGAAGGATAAAAGTATAGATTAATATATATAAGTGAGTCATAAATATTCCATTTTGAGACTCTGGTGTAAATTTAGAACTTTAACAATAAAGTTTCTGACTTTCTGTAAAATAAAGGTTAATAGCTGAAGGAGGAATAATTAATAACCAGTAAATGAAACAAATTTATCCTGTATATATATATCAGAATCATTCAATAATTTTAAATTGAACCTGTTATGATAATCCTAGGAAGACAATGATAGCTATAAAAGGACTAAAATTATAAGTTTTCAACATGTGGATAAGTTAGAGGGGAAACACTTAGATGAGTAAAGAGGCAGCAAAAGGAAGATACTAGCATTAGGATGGCATCTAATTGAGATTGGAAAGAAAATAAATGAAAGGATGCAGACACGATCAAGAAGATGTTGTTATAATGGTGGAAATGCTTATAACAGTTGATCTTCAGCATGCTAGTCACGTGGAGAGAGACAGAATTACAAGCTTTTTTGCTTTTTATTGCAAGTTATATGTACTCACCATGGAAAATGTAGATATGTCAAAACAAGGGCAAAAAATCATCTATAAACACCCTAATGCATACCAAGATCATAACCATGATCTTTTTATGCTTTACTAAAGATTAGTCAATAAAATTAGAAATTCTTTAATCATATTTTAAAGGCCAATAATAAAATCAAAGATGTTTTCACATTTAAATAAATATTGCACCATTTAGTCTAGCCTCTCTATATTACTAGTTTAATAACCTCTTTAGATGATTGTATTTTCTTGACCACTTAGGTAACTTATGTTAAAACTCCAAGTCATCAGTTTGCCAGGAAATTGTTTCAATTGCCAAAAAACTTTAATTGTAAGAAGTCCTTTCCCATGGTGAATTTTTCTCACCTACTTTATCTTCTCCCCCTAAAAGCTCGAGGTTCGGAATCCACTTCTTAGTCTCTCACACTGTGTACGTGACTAAATAAGGTAATGTTATTAGTCAATATTTCTTTATCAATAATGTTAACTCATCAATAATTATAAGAAATAATATTGTCTTTATCAACATTATAATAAATAATATTGCCTTTATTAATATCCTCTGGTTCTCCTACAGCCATTTAAAGATTGAACTGTGACAGTATTGACAAAAATGACCAATGTTTGAAGCATTATATCGATTAAAGCATATTTTCTTCTCCACATTTAATATTTGAGAATATGTAGTGAACTTCACTCCAAATTCTCTTTCCAAGATCAATTTTCCCCAGCAACTCTCAGAAATTATAATATCCAGAATGTGTCTTACCAGCTCCCCTAGATACATACCAATTTGTGACTATTTCCTGTGGAAGTGCTCCATAGAGGTAAATGGGGTGATATCGGTGCGACTGAAGAAGTTAAACATAAGATTGTTTGTCATTAAACTATATTGCAGCCCATTACTATACATTTTTAGATGCAAACGTTTTTATTATTACCAAAATCTATGTTGTTTATGGAGGGCTTAATGAAGTACACATAGCATTTCAGAAATGTCTCTGAAAAAGTATCTTTAAAGTAATAAATGATCAAAAGGATATCAAATATATACCCATGATTTATTTCACCCTAATCATGCAACTGATTGGGTATAAGAAAATGTCTCTTAAATCATCTAGTTTTGCTCTTCATTAACTGGAGGAAAGAACTTGAATTATTACCTAAAACGAAGTTTAAGATTTATCTGTAACTCTAAGTTATTCATGTCTGTACTTACATTGTCCTTCCAAGAGATATGGAGAGCTATAATGAACCCTGAAAATAAGAAACAGAAAATATAATGACCTGGCTGGCTATGCTTTATTTTAACCAGTCGCTGTCTATTTTCTAGAAAGGTAATTCTGAGGCAAATTATTGGTCACTTATCTGAAAATATCATGGCTTGTTCTGAACTACTATTTTAAATGACTATTCGTCAGGTTGAACAGATGATCTAGTGAATTGTTAGCTTTTCTGTGCAAAGGAGGTAGGAATTAAAATCTGCTGCTTTTAACTCTTTTCTTTCCTTTGGTTTGAATAGTTCATATGAAAAAGGTAATCTCTAAAAGATAAAGAGGACAGTCATCCAATCTCCTGGCTTTGTTTGTTGTGTACCGTAAGCAAGTCTCTTTATTTTTCTCTGACTCTTTCTCCACCTGTACAGTGTGGAAAATCTTACCTGTGAATCCTTCCTTCTAGAACTATTGGACTGGTTAGAAGAAGTGTCAAAGACATATGACAGTACCACCAGTTTTTAGCTGCTTCCCTGAAGAGAATGGATGGACTGGAGTTGGTAAGTAATAAGGATTTGCCATTTGAAGTTGTTCTTGGGGAGCAGGAACCACGAGCCAAATACGGTTCTGCTTTGCATTTCTTTTGTCAACTTCAGCTGATTGTAGGTTGATCCATTCTGGAACTAAGACAGCATTTCAGAATTCCTGGAACGAGTTCAAGTAAGAAAAGAAAACAGGTAGTCTGTTTGGTGTTAAGAAATTTCAAAAATTAATTATTATGTCCTGTGATTTTGTAACAAAATGTGCCATGAATTGGCTGGAACCAGAGTATCAAATGAAAAGTAGGGTACAAAAAGAATAACGCTAGGGAAAAAATTCAAGTAAAAAAATCAAAACAGAGCTCTGTGATTTCAGAAGCAATGGCTTCTGCTCAAGAAGAACTGTCATTAAAATTGCCAGGAGCACCAGTGAGATGGATTTGGGGCAGGGTGGACTAAGGGAGGCTCTGTTTTATCAAATACAGTGAGACTTCATTGTATTCTAAATTTTCCCTGCCATGCAGGTAAGATCTTGGAAGATTTTTCTTGGGTCCTTTCCCCACGGAGGAGCGCAGTGTTTATCTCTGTAGATGTGTACAGATGACAGTTTCACATCCAGGAACCCTTATCACGCAGAATATGAACAGTCAGTCCTCTTTGGCTACTGAATAACAATAAGAGTCTCAGTCCGGAGATGGCCAGGGGAGAGTAAAGACCGGAAAATAAGGAAGCAGGGAAGCAAGCAGGCTTCTCTGTGTTCTGATAGAGCACACCAAGCCTGCTGGAACACAAAAACTGGTCTCACGTCATTGTCCCATGTTCTCTGGACACGGAGGAATCTGATTTGCATTAGAACCCTCTGCATTCAATAAACAAAAATAAGGATAATAATGACTGACACGCTATTTGGGGCAGGGGACCAACCTAAGCCATGACTGTTTTGCCCTGAATTCATTCAAGATTTTATTAGCTACACTCTCACTTAGGTTAAGAGGCTCAGCTTGCTTTTAATTTCACTGGTCTCAGTTATTCACAACAAAAGGAACTTGGGGTGTGTGCGTGCGCGCATGTGTGTGTGTGTGTGTGTGTGTGTGTGTGTGTGTGTGTGAGCTCACACACAGGTTTTCCACATTCTGTACATTACAAGCGGTTCTGCAAAAAAGAGGAAGAAGCTCTGAAGGCAGTGAGCGGCTTTTGCGGGTTTAGGAAATGGAGAATTTCTCTACATAAACAAGAAGGTTTGGATTGGAAGTCTGCTAAAAAAAATGTTAAGAGCTGACCACAAGGTTGTAAATCCACAGACTGGAAGGAGGAAAAGAGAAACACTGCGAGCGACTGAAGTGTGTGCGGCTGCAGTGTTTGTGGGTTAGATGAGAACCAAGCGCTGAGTGAAACAGAGAAGGCGGGGGAGGCTGGTGTGATTTGTTTGGTGTTCAGAGCCAATAGAAATCCCAGACCGTGATAATATCCCCATGCAGCGGCCAGAGGAGTCAGAGCGAAGTCTCCCGGGCTGCGCTCGCATCTGCAGGCGCGGCCAGGCTGGGCCCGCGCCTCCCCGCGCCCCGCGCCCCGCGCTTCTCCTATGGGCGTTTGCTGGGGTCCGTCTGCGGTGCCACGGAGCGCGGCCGCGGGGGGCCCAACTTGGAGCCCGCTGTGGACTATATCACCCCGAGGAGAGGCAGAGGGAGAGAGCAGGGACCCGAGGAAGAGGCTCCATCACGTCATTGCAGGTACGAAGCTTGTCAGGACTAATCTGACACAGACACGCTTTCTGATTGCTGCCTTCAGCAGGCGGTTCCACTGAATTGACATTGTTCCCTGGCGGGTCCGGGTAGGAAGCACTGAGTGATGGGCTCCCCGGATTCTCCTCGGGTGATTATACCTGCTAGCGTGTGTTCCGGGGGCCACAAGGTTTATACACCTATTGGATTATGCGTGGGTGGAAAGCAAGGACCTTTAAACTTGACTGTGTGCTCTTTCTTTCCAATAACACCAGTACCTGCGGGAGGTCAGGCGACCCAGAAATACCTCCTGCTGACTCCCGTTAATAATGAGGACCTATAGCAAATCTGACACCATCTGATTGTTAGAAAGCAGTCTTCACACACTTCCCGCTTTCCTAGCAGGATAACGCTTTCCTTTAGGAATGCAGCTACTGTGGACGTGGGCATGGTTTTGATTTTTAAGATATAAGGCCACCGTGGGCCAGTATCGCTGGATCATTTCGCTGTGGTGAAAGCGGACAAGACACGGGAGATAGACACATTTCAACGTGACTGTGGCGATTTTCCCTGTGTACTTTTTTTTTTTTGCCTTTTTTTATGAGTGAAAAATGCATTTCATGATTTACCACCAAACAGGATGAGTTTCTAGCTCTCATATGTAACTCAGTTAAAAAGTTAGGAATTGGAAAACTATGTAGTAAATTTGATGCTTGTAAGGAAATGTCAATTTTTAGTTTGATTTTGTTAAACTGGTAGAGTTCTGCCTGTTGCTTTATTTCTTTTATCTTTGAGGTGAAGATTTTGTTAAAAAATTTTAAAAGGGAAAGAAAAGCAAATCTTTTCCATGGGATTTCACCATGTTCAATGCATAATTTTGAAGTCAGTTATATAACGTTTCTCCCATGATCATTGCTTGTGATTAAATTGATATTGCTTAACGAGTTCGATCTTTCCCTGGGAGAAGCCAGAGGAGACGGAATAAAGCTCAGTTAGAAGATTGGTCTTGCTTTGGGCGATCCCCATATCCTGGCATTCAATTGCTCTGAAACTGTATAAATAGCACTTTTTCTGCAGTGGAGACTGTGCCTAGATTGGGATTCTAGTTCAAGAAGACAATTCTCTGCAGCAGGTGCAGGAGAATCAAGCACAGCATCTTCAGTCTGGATTTATACCATTGCTCTCAGTGGATCAAACCCACACCATTCATTGACTCAGAGTCAACTCACCATTCAGTGCTACCAGATTTCCAGAGCAATTTTGTACCTGGCCAAGGAAGACAAGGTATCACAATGGAAGATTTATGTTGACTTACTTTTTGCCAGTTTAATATGTTCTTTTGTCATTAAGGGAAATGCAAAACAGGTAAAAGTAGCTAGTTCTACTAATGAGGCACAAAAACATCATTTTTTTGCCCATTCTCGGGTGTGAATTATTTTGCAGAGGGTATTTAAAAATTTGTCCAAGACAAGACATGGCAACTACATTATATGTAGGAGAGAGTGTTTTAATTTTATAAAGGAATGCTTTTTTCTTTTTCTAACAGCAAAAAGGAAACTGTTTGTAATGCATTTACCTATTCAAATAAATAAAAATCAATTGACCCTACCAAATTTTATTAGCAGTAACAAGAGTAGTTTTGTATTATTATGAATAGTTGCCAATCTTCTATAAATATCTGAAGTACACTGGAATCCACTTCTCTCTTACCATCCAAACTCTAAAGCAATGTTGGGCATGTTGGTATTGACTGAGTGATTGTAAGGCTAATGTATGTACTTTGTATGGACTACACAGGGCTTTTCAAGGGTAGATATGAACCATGATTATACATTGTATTTTGGTATCATTCTTCATTGGCAGAAGTAGGTTCATTCTCTACATATCTTAGTATAGCCAGCCAGAGCTTTAAGGCTATAAGTTTGGCAATGTTTAAATGCAGTACATGCCTTTAAATCTCCTCTAGGTAAATAACTCTTCCTTAAACCTCTTCTAATGAAAAGGGACAGTGGGAGCCTGAGTCTGGGCCCTGAGTTCTTGTTGATACGGAAAGGACTGCTCTTCCTGGGTCAAGGGCAGACGCTGGGAGATTGCAGAAGGGCAGGCACGCAGCAGATTAGGCCAGCCACATTTGTACTCCAGAAGTTGTGCCAGGCTGGAGACATGATCTCAGTATGAGGGCCCTTGAAGGATTTAGGAGAATAAGTAATGAATTATTTCAACCAGCAAAAGTGTGCCTTGTATTGAGCTTAAGACAAGTCCCAAAAGGACTAACATAAGATAAATTGTTCAGAGGAAAAGATGCACAATTGTAAATCACACCTATGGTGTCATCCAGTTCTTCGGTTAGCTGCTTTTCTTCCTACCTCATAGTTCCCTTGACTTTGTGAATAGAACAGCCTGACCTAATAGTGTGTAGAATTAATTTTGATCAGGCTAAAATAAAGTCTTCAGACCCTTTGTCTCAACACGGATGCACAATTTCAGCGTAACTCCTGTCACCACCATTGCTAGAAGGGAAGATATCTTTGACTGGCCAACACATTATGAGGACCCAGTCCCTGGGGGAGCACTGGTTTGTATAGATGGTTCTCCAGAACAATGGGTTGGTTATGAGAGGTTTGAAGCCCAAAGATCTGAAGTGGGATGGTATTGTGATGGATGGGTATCCGTAAATCCTGGAGCCAAAGGAGTAATGAATTGACTTCCTCAAATTAGCTTCAATTACAAACTTTTGCTGAGATGTCCAGGGTATTTCAAATACATTCCTGTGTTCACAGGTACACGGCACAGAGATGTGGGATTAAAATAAATGCCTTTGCTGTGATGTCACGCTCCTGCACATATCGGCCAGCAGAGGGCAGCATGCAGACTTTGAAAAAGTGATGCCTCCTCATTGACCATGAGGCGAGTCCAATTTTCAAATGACTCAAAAATGTCTGTCCAACTGTCTGTAACCTCCGCTCTGTGCAAAGCAGAGTCCAGGGTTTTAGAAAGGGATACACCATCCAGAAGGATTTACTTCTAGTTTATGCCTGGCAAAATAATGAAAACAGCAACTTACTTAATACTGATGAACTCTACTTCCCTTTCTTTATAATGAGCTTCACTGTTTGACCCCATTCAAGCAGGCTTCATCTTTGTCAGGAGATGGGTGAGAGGGGACATGGAATATAGGGAAAACAAGAAAAGAATGGGGTTTCTTGAGTTGCTTCTCCAGGGGGAATTGTTTATGGGCTACTTTGCCAGTAAATCTAGCCTTGAAGCGTGTCTCAGACGCAAATTTACGGACACCAGAATACATTTTAGCCACCAGCCATCAGTTATACCTTCAGAATCCTAACAAACTGGATGTCAAAAGAGGAGGGCTGGCATAGTTTCTCCTAGTGGTATCTGGAGTCTGAGATGTGCTGAAAAATAAGAATAAAAAGTCTACCTCTTAGGAGCTCAGAGATGATTAAACTTAGTCCATCTTAAATCCAGTCCACCTCTCTTATCATGGCTAATGGGTTGTTTTCTTGTTCTCTTGTGATCTTCAGAGGTGAGTCTCTGAAGTACAAATTGTAGTGTTCACAGAAGTAAGAATTAACACTCTTAAGGGCGAAGTCCTTACAGTGGCAGTGATAGCTTCGGAGAGGTCCATTCTCACTTAGCTGGTTAGACATGCTCGCTTCAGGGGCGCCCTGGTCTCTGCTGTCTTTAGTCCCACTGCCTCACTTCACACTGTGGAATGTGAGGCCCCTAGGAGAATGCTCAGAGCTGGGCTCTGGAAACGACATCTGAGAGACCCAGAGAAACAACTTTCTTGGGGGAGGGAGAGCTGAGGTTACACCTCGAGAGGAAAAGGCAAAAGGGACTTTGGGCTGCGAGTGGTCACTGAGGGGAGAGGGAGACCAGGAGGACTGTGTCAAGAAAAAGAGTGATTTGGGGGTTTATGGAGTAGTGGATTCCAGGGCTCTTAGGGAGCTGCCCCCAGGGGTCAGCGGCTTGTCTGCATGAGTGAGGCCTTCAACACTCTGATCTCTCCTTTCTCTGCTGCTACTGTAGTCTGCTGGGAGGAGTAGTGTCCTTGACTCGAAGAAAAGCGTTTCTTTTCCAGGACAAAGTCAAGATTCTTTGGTGTATGGGAGGAAAGGGAGGCCTGTGTGTCCCCCTCATTTTCGGCCAGATTAGCCTCCTCTGCCCTCCCATTCTCTACTATCTAGGACTACACAGGCCCCAGTGCTGGGAAAGCTGGGGCGAATGTGAGAGATGCACCCAAGGTCACCGCTGAAGCGACACTCTGCTGTAATTGCAAGATTTTAGCAAATAAGAGCGAGAAAAAGAAGTCCTACAGCCTGGAGCAGGGGAGAGTTGGGGCACTGTACAATGTATCACCTAACGTGTAAGGCCAAGCATCTCCTCAGCTAGTTTTCCGTTTTTGTTGTAGTACTTCTGAACTCTTTTCCCATAATCAGAGTAACTTCAGGTTCTATCTACCTTTTTTTGTGTTTGAAGATTTCTTTCCAATTTAAAAAAAAATCTTATAGGTGAAGGAAAACTCCATCGGAAAGTATGTTGCTGATGGAGTATCAAAACAGGGTAAATTAGATCATTGTGTCCCGGCTGATACAATAACTTTTATAAGAAGATAAACTTGAGGTCATGTTTCACTCCCAAGCCATTTTTGAGTTATATGAGTGTGAGAGAATTAGAAACAAAGGAAATAAATGACTTCTGGAAAAGTTCTTTTGGATGGGGAGTTTTGAAGGACATGAGGCTAAGAACACAAACATTCCCAAACAGGACTTTCATGGTATGGGTTAGCAGGAGCTCCCAGCTAAAATTCTCCTCGCGTACAATTTATTTAAACAATGAGAGATGGGGAGGAAGACAGAGGGCTGCACAGGGGAACACTTGGCCAGCTCATGAGAAATGCTAAGTTGACTTCGTCTAGTACAAACATTGTCTGCATTAAAAATATTATTCAACCTGGCTGTACAGCTGGAACTGCAAGGCCAGGGGGAAGCTAATCTTATCATCCATGGAACACTAGCCATGCCTCTTTGCTTGAATGCAATTATAACATGAACGCTGGTTAATGTGCTCTGTGTTCTAATTATAGTAGCCACATTGGGGGAAAGATGACAGATGTGAGACGTAGTATGTAGAGTTAATAAAAATCCAGCAGCTCTATAATGAGATTTCTCTCCCAACTGTCTTTAATAGTAATCTAAGTTTTAGCAAATTTTCAAGTGATCTTTAATTATCTCTTATCAGTTATTTGAAAAGCTAAGATTCATCTAGCTTTCGTTGAATGCATTTCATGCACTAAATTATAGTAGACACTTTTTAATTATTAGTTGCTTCAGTCTTTGCCACAACCCTGAAAGTTTTATTTTGAGACTTTGTTATAACCATAACATCGCATAGCTGAGAATATAACCATTCAACCATACAAGCATATGTTAATATGACTGAGCCTCTTTTTGTGTCATAATAATAAATATCGTGGTTATTTCTAGCATAATATATAAAAATATAGTCATAATCACTCTTACATTTAATTCCAGTGTAATCATCATTCCCATATGCATAAATAATAATAATAATAATAATAATAATAATAATACAGCAACCCATCACAAAATGATTAAAATTATGTATGTAATTTCAGTCCTGATCGATTGAATATTGTTTGACTTAGGTTCATATTCAGAGAAGTATGAATGACCAATTGTTTTTATCCATATGATAGACAATAGACACATAAAAAGGCTTCTTTCTACTTGAGAGCAAAGTGGGTCTGCATCAGCTTTTGCACCACTGATAATGGCATGCTTGATGTCTGGAGCCATATCCACCCCCCAGAGAGACCACCCCCAATTGATCCTTATGAAAATTTTTGAGCAATACAGAAATGTGGAGGTTCAACATACATATTCAAGTCTTCAACCCAAAAAATAATATGGAAAATACATTTAACGTATCTCACTTCTGTCAACTCAGATAATATAAACTTTAGAGGCAGCAGAGTAGAAACGTTGCTTTGCTAGAGACTTAAATACTACTATAATTTTTTTTTTAGCTAGAAGAGTTATCTGATTACTATGGAAAACTCTGAACCTAAAAAACTCAGCCACTTAGGACCTATTTCCATATCTCTCACCCTTCAGGTGCTGCCTTCCCTCCCCAGTTCACTCTTTGCAATGAGAAGCTGGCAACAGGTCACTGTGTTTCATTCCAGCACTAGCATTAGGTCTGCACATTTCCACGTGTGAAAACAGGGGACTCAAGGATGACTACTTGCCAAACACTTATAGTATTATCTAATCTCTACAAAAATCTTAACCGATATCATCATTCTTGTTCCTGCTCTACAGGTGAGGTTACTAAGATTTAGAGTTTTCAAAAAGTCACACAGCCAAGGATGTTGCAGAAATGGGTTTCTTTTCATGTTCTTTCTTTCTTTCTTTCTTTCTTTCTTTCTTTCTTTCTTTCTTTCTTTCTTTCTTTCTTTTTCTCTTTCTTTCTTTCTTTCTTTCTTTCTTTCTTTCTTTCTTTCTTTCTTTCTTTTCTTTCTGTCTTTCTTTCTTTCTTCTTTCTTTCTTTCTCTCTCTGCTTCCTCTTTCTTTCTTTCTTTATCTCTCTCTTTCTTTCTTGTACATGTGGAGTTGGTGAATGTACACAACACATCTTAATTTTTTTCATCCCCCTTTCCTCCCCTCCTACTCCCTCTAATTCTTGACTTTCTCCCTATTTAAGAAAGATCTATCTTCTTACTTCCTATTGTTTATCTTTTATTTTACCCATTATTTATAATTTGGGTTTTTCATATAAGAGAAACTATGTAATATTTAAGCTTGTGTGTCTGATTTATTTAACTTAACATTATGGACTCAAGGTGTATCTATTTTCCAGCAAATGACTCAAGTTTTTCTTTATGGCAGAGTAGTACTCCATAGTGTGTAAACATCACATTTCTTTATCCATTCATCTGTTGCTGGACGCAGTCTGCTTCCAAAAGCTAGCTAATATGAATTATGCTGCTATAAATGTGGATGTGCATGCATCACTGCAATATGATGACTTTAACTATTTCAGGAAGATACCTATAAAGATAATAGCTTGGACAAATAGAATTTCTATTTTTATTTTTTGAGAAATCTCCATACTGATTTCCATAGAGGTTTTACTAGTTTGCATTCCCACCAACAACGTAGAAGAGTTTCTTTTCCCCTGCAGTCTCACTAACATTTGTCATTATTTGAGTTTTCATGATTACCATTCTTTCTGTAGTAAGATAGAAACTTGGTCTTGTTTTAATTTGCATTTCTCTAACGGGCAGGGATGTTGAGCATTTCTTCATGTACTTACTAGCCATTTGTACTTTGTGTTCTGTGAAGTGTCTATTTCACTTGATTAGGAGATCTTTTTTTTTAGTTCTCTATATATTTTAGATATTAGTCCTCTGAGGAATCAGAGGTGAGTTTCAAACCCATTTCCCCTTTCCTTTCTATGACATAGTGTGCCTTCATTCACCTATTCATAAATATTTATTAAGAAAATGTTGTACAATGTGCAAAGTATTGTGCAATATTATAGTTATAATAGTAAAGAGGACAGGCTATCTTAAAGAGCTCAACACTAGCCAGAAACACCAACAATAACCTAATAATTAAACAATGTTGGAAATCTAGATTATCATTTTTACCCTACTGTCACCTACTGTCATTTTACCCTACTGTCACCAGAAGTCTTGGTGACACCATTGTTCATTACAATGGCCAAAATCTTTACATCATTTCATGAACTTCCCCCCTTCAGTTTGGTGTGGTTTTACTCTTCCTTGTCTAATTATTTTTACATTTTTCACTACATTTCACACTTTTCCTTGAGAACAGATTGTTTCATAGTCATATTTTTAC